TTTTCTTTTTCTTTCTATATGCCCCTGACATACTTGGTTGTATTGTACAATATGTTTGGTTTTCAGTTAAAAAAATTAATTAAAAATAATAATTTTAAAATGCTGAAAAAATCCGACGTCCGAAAAGATTTAGACAGGTGTAGAAATATGCTGTAAAAAATTATTTTTAAAAATGAAGTTGTATATAAAACAAAGGTTATCGAGGAAAACACAACTTCAGTCTTCCTACTGCAAAATTCAGTGTTTGATTCAATATGTTAATTGTTGTTTCTTTGTAAGTAATTGTGAAATTTACTAGCGATTTCTTTGTGAAAATGGTTTCTACATCTTTTTTTTTTTTTCAGGTGTATCCACAGTTATTTATATCGGTACGAAAACAGTCGTTGTGCTGTGTAATATGCACACTGCGTTTGGTATCATGTTATTTAAATGTATTATCAGAATCATAAACACACTGGCTTGTAGCGCAAATAGGTTTAGCATTTCCTGCACTTTGTTGCTCTTAGTTATTTACCGATATCGGCCGATGAATCGTAAGTCGCGCATATTGACAGAAAACAGGCGGATATATTTAGGAACTAAAGTGTTATTTTCCTGTCTGTTTTGTCCATATTTTTTTCTCCACAATCACATCGGGGAACTTCTGAAAGTGATTCAAGTTTTAATTACAACAAAGATCAGCATGCGTGTGTTTGTCCCCCTTTATATCGCCGATGTGCCAAGTTGGATCGCGCACAAAGAGACGGCGCCGGTCTGGTCGCTCGCGCACGCTCTCCTTCACGTCTCAATGTGGGACAGCAGAAAGTGGCATCAGAGGGAAAGTGGATTAAAGTAGGTTCCTCTCCTCCTCCTCTCTCCCTCTTTCTCTCCCTCATGGGCGCGTGTTTTTTGGCAGGGTCACCTGAGTCCTCCGGTTGGCCGCGGCTCGCAGGTAGCGAAGTTTGACGCTAACGAGAAGGAGCTTTGAAGCCGTCCCCAGTTACTTAAACACAACAACCTTCATTAATTCACAACGACGGTCCCATCAGGTTCTCATTAACAGCGGCACGAACACTCACCGGCGCCGTTATTAACTATTAATCCTCGTGTTTCTAGGTGTTTGGGGCTCTTCCGCTGCCAGAGGCCTGATTTCCGTAGGTTTGTCCCTCGTGAAATATTCGGATTTGTGTTGTTTGTATCTGCTGCAGTATGGAGGACCAAAGCTGCCAAAATTAAATGTAAATGGATAAATAAGTAAATGTATAATAGGAAAATAAATAAAGAAATAAATGACTTGACTTTATGTATTATTTTCTGTATTAATTCTTTTTAACTTTTATTTTCTTATTCTTTCATTTGATTTTTAATATTTATTTTTTAATTGTATTTATTCATGCATTTATTTCCAGCTTTATGGAAGTCACTATCTTAATGATTATATAATGATCTCCATGTTGCACAAGGAAAAGTAAAAAGAAATAAATGAATAAATAAACCTGGAAATAAATACATGTGGGAATAAATAAATAAATCTAAAAAATGAATGCATAAATAAATATAAAAATAGGTGAAATAATAAGTAAATAAAAGTTTAAAAAGAATAAAAATAAATACAGAAAATAATGCATAAAGGAAAAAGGTAATAAAAATGTAAGTTTTATGACACTAAACTATATTTTATAAAAATTTGAAGTTTTATAAAACTATATTTGTTTTAATCAAGTCATTTATTTCTTTATTTATTTTCCTGTTATACATTTACTTATGTATCTATATGTTTATTTATTTATTTTATTTTTAATTTCTGCAGGTTTGGACCTCCATATTGCAGGAGCTAAAAGTAGTGTTAAATATTTTGCAGATTATTGAGAATGTTAAACAAAAATGACATGTTATTTTTGACCCATGCACAGATGGAAAAATGATTTGGAGTTTCATAAAGAAATCAGAGAAAGTGTACCATGTTAATAAACATTTCTGCTAAAATTCATATAAGAGGTCATATGAACATGACATGCAGGTTTACAATTGACATATTTAATCTTTATTTTTTCAAGTAGTGTTTTATTTTGATTAACATTATCTTAATTTTACATTTTCATGATTTAGTTCATTATTAGCTATTCACTCACTCACAAGCCCTCTGCAGTTTCTGGATTCTGATTGGCTGTCAATTCAAAATGCTTCAAAAATTTGCAAATAAGGCATATAGTTAAATCCCTAAAGATGTATAGAAAGACAGCAAACTTACAATACATAAGTAACAAATACAATAGATAAATAAAAGCTAAAAAAAAAAAGGCTTTCTAAAATGAGCTTATATACTTATCCAGAAGTGAAATCAGCTTTCTTAGTTTTGCCCAAGAATTTAATAATAATTTAATTTTAAGAATTTGGGCTCGGGTATAAAACATCTGCATGCATGTTTGAAAACAAGTTAAAAAGTTATCCTTTTTTCTCTTATTTTTCTATATTGTTATAGTTTTTATGAATGGGCCTTAATTTGTTTTTCCTCCACAAATGTCTGCATTTAATTCAGCTCGAACTGCTTTGCGTATAGATCAAACTTTGTTTTGCTAGTCATTTTCATTTTTTTGCCAACGTTATATTTTAAAAATGATTTAATGACAAAATTTGAAAACCTACTGACTAGTGTTATTTTACAATTATTTATATATTATTATTATAGAATTTATTAACATTTGAATTAGCTTTTATTTTTATACATTCTGTTTTTATTGTAATTTTAGTTTGTTTAGTCGTTTTTGATTTTTAAAACTATTTCTATTTATCTTTATTTTATTTCAGTTTGAATAATTTTAGTACTTCAACTTAAAGTTTTGTTAGTTAGTTGCCAAGGCAACGTCTAAAATTCAGTTTTTTTTTGTTTATTTCTATTTACGAAACTTATTTTTAATAGTTTGTTTGCGCAAACAGGACTACTGTTGACACTTCAGAATCTGAACAAGATGCATGTCATTGTTATAATATTTGCTTGCATACCACACTGTGATTGCTTTGCTTTCTTGAATTTATGTCCATTTATATTGACATTTGATGCAGCATTTTAAAACAGAACTAGAGACTAAAACCTGAACTCACGTAATACTTGAACGCTGTTTTCCTGCCAGTGAGATTTCCTCCACGACCGAGTTTAAGAACGTTTAACCTCTCTAGGACTGCAAGAAAAGTCTCTCTAATATATATATATATATACATATATATATATATATATATATATACATATGGGGCTGTTGAAATGCTGATCAG